ATTTACAGTTTGAGTACGACATTTCGCTGGTAATTACATCCAGCATCATCGGGAAATTCGCCAGAATGGTAAAGCCCTCACTTGCTCCCGGTCTTAAATAGAGCAGCAAGGTGACGTCATCATTTAACTCATTCAGGTGCAGTGATTTGAGGGGGGGGGGGTATTGTAATTATATAATCGATTGGTAATCAGTCAATGGTTGTGATTAGTAATGAGTTGTAGATTAGTAATTAGTTGTAATGTGTGTTATTGTGATTATATGCTACGTTAGTAATCCGTTAATTAGTATGTGTTTCCCCTATAAGGAATTGTAATATGTATTTAATAATACGCTTCCAAGCCGCACTAAGCCTGTAGCTGTCAGAGCGATTAAAGTTATTTCTATTTCTGTCAATTTCAATGGACTCTCTAATTAGTATTTACCAGTAATAATTAGTTTTACACAACACTTCAACGTTATCAAAATCAATTGAGTGTCCTTGTTGACAAGCATGTTCTGCCACTGCCGACAGTTGTGTTTGAGATAATTTAATATTTCTTTGGTGTTCTTTTAGTCTTATGCTGATGTTACATCCCGTCTGTCCAATATAGCATTTGCCACATAAACAAATAATCCGATATACACCTTCTGTCACAATAACACACATTACAACTAATTACTAATCTACAACTCATTACTAATCACAACCATTAAATTATGACGTCACCCTGCTGCTCTTTAAGACCGGGAGCAAGTGAGGGCTTCACCATGCTGGCGAATTGCCCGATGATGCTGGATGTTATTACCAGCAAAACGTCGTACTCAAACTGTAAATGTTGTGGATTCACTCTTCAACACACCGGTGGACTAAAGTAGTGAATTATTTGTCTTTTGTCAACGTGACACTTTTTTGTTGATTGGCCGTGACGGGTGGTGGAGGGTTACGGCGCATTTATAAATGATGCGATCTAACCCAAAAACCTTTATTATGAATGTATTAATTAAGCTTGCCAAAATATATATATACATGAATGGTAGATTCAGTCAGTTTCAGTTAAGATAATTAAAATGTAATTTTTTAAATGTTTATTTAATTTTTTCAAACAATTCCTCTTCTGCTGATAGTTTTTCCATGTTATTACATCATGTATCTAGGGCCATTGCTGACATTCTACTTTGGAGCAGTTTTGTCAATACATCAATCACTTTATGGGCGATTACAGTGAATTATACTTTGGCTTTAATTTGGGTGCTATATACAGCATACACTGATTAATATACCCAACTGACTACAGTTTGCCAAGCAGTGGTTTGGTTTTTGCACTGTCCAATGCACAATTGACATCTGATTAAGGTTCTCCTAGTGTGAAAATCTTACCAGTGAGTGTCCCGTGGCTCAGTTGGTGCGAAAGGCAGAAAGGAGCCCCATAACTAAACTGCAATTACATGTGCTTGTCTCGGCACAAGTGTTGGTAAAAGGGCGGATTCGTGCTTGGATGATGTGCGAAGAAGCACTGTGTGCCTGAATAAGCGACAAAAATACCGGGTCATTGAAGGGTCAGAGCTGTGGAACGTGTACAGCGGGTAATGTGCCGCAGAGTAGCAGCGATGAGACACCCATTATCTTAGCAGGTTTATAAAGTCACTGGCTGTCGGCACGTTTGTGGCCTTTTCATTTGGAATTTTAGCAGGTGATTTGCAACCAGAATCGAACAGTCATCCCTTTCTTGTGGCCAGCGGCTTCTGTGCCCAATAAAAGCTTTAAAAAATGTGGTTTATAACTTAACTTAATTTGGCATTTTTATTTTGTGTTCTCTCATTTAAATAAAATGTCCCCCGTTTGTAGCTATTAAAGAGTTTTATGAATACTTTCTCGGCAGTCCTTATCTAGTGGATGGGAATCTTAATGTTGATGGGGGAGACCAGTCTGCGAAAGGATAACCATTGGTAGATAATAATAATTGAAACGACATCATTATGACAACGGTGTCCCCTTCGCCATCCTTCACAGCCCCAGTGTGGTGAAGTATAGCCAAACAATCCCCATGGCCGACATGGCACAGGGCAGTTCTTCATCTTGCAGTGGATTAAAAAAAAGTGTTTAAATATTGTTATTGATGTGTGCTATTTATGATAACGCAGCACTGTATTGCACATTCACACACAGACGCAGTGCATGCAATCGTACACGCACGCTAAACATTTGCTCCCACTGGATGCCAGGGCCTCTGAACAGGGAATAGGAACCTCTGGTAACAATTACCAATCGTTTGGTTGCCTCTCCTCATTCTCCCACCTATTGTGAGTGCCACTAAGAGCACATCTATTAGTAATCTGTGATTGCCCCAGGCACAGCTGCGGGTGCCGCATTACAAGCAAACCTTGGGTGTGAATGGCAGCCTCCGAGGTCTCGTATACGTGCGCCATGGCTGACGGTCTCCCTCAGGAGCATCGAGCAAACAACGGCCTTCCTTGAAACCACGCCTGTCCGTCAGTCACTCTTCGAGCGTTTGCTTTTTAAGACCTTGCAGCTGCCCAGTTCAAGGTTTATGTTGCAGACACTTTTTTTGCGAATCTGCTTTTGGTTCCTCGGGTAATACTTTATAATGTGACAGATGTCCCTGATGGGTTTACATCGGATAGCTGCCAAATATAAATAAATAGATAACTAGTTAAATCTGTATTCATTTGCATGCAGTGCTAGCCCCCCTAGCTGGACTTTATCCCAGTTATTTTTTTCTCTCATGAGAAATGGTGGGGATACAAAAGATGCCCATGCTGCCTATGTACTGCTTCAGTCCTTCCTTCCCCTGGGCTGTTGCAATGTGGGTCTTACTGCAGGTGCTTTGCTAAACACTTTGCTTTTTTTCTAAATTCCTCCGTGAAAAAAAAAAAGCCCCGAGAGAGAGGGGAAAAAAATATCTTTCCCAAGCTGACGTAGGGATTGTGTGCAAAGAAAGAGCCTTTTGTAGGTCGTTGCTGTGCGTTAATGCGTAGTCGTGTAGAGTGGTGAATGCACGCCGACTGGCTGTGTACCTTTTTGAGAACTGGAGGCAAAATGAAGTGCTTTGTATTTCACTGGAAGTAGCCGTTTAGGTGGGGTTTCACCAGTTCCCCTTAAACCCATGCAGGCTGCCCCATTTGTGAACTGAAATAGATATATAATTGAATCTCACATTATGATGCAATGGACCTAATTTCATGATTGTTAGGCATGTTGAGCATTGCAGCCTGAAAATGTGAATGCATTGTCCCCTGCAGCCTCATGTACCTCACCACTTTATTGACTTCTTGTTAAATTCTGCCCCAGCACAGTATATTTGCAGCATGGCCTTATGATAATATAATAGTCCACATAAAATATAAAACCTAGATAGTTGACGCTTTGGTTGAAATGTAGTTCGTTCAAAAACTTTCCTTAAACAGCTATGATACACTATCTTGGTGCTCAGAATTAAGCTGGAGGTATGGTTAAAAATAATGTGATCATGATCAGTCAGTCATTCATTATCAAGTCATCAACGTAAAATCCAGAATAGTTAAGTGAATACCACATGGTGAGGTTATGCCATGTGCTGTGCCATCAACCCCAGTTGTCTAATGGAAAGACTGGCTCCTCCCATAGCAATATGGAGTTTCCTCCACCAGCTCAGGACTGTCACTGTAGATTAACACTGCCTCCTCCGGCACCTCTAACCACAGACACCTTAAATAATAATGTTCATATTCTTAGTGTTTTCGGTAAAGTCACGTTGAAGAGAAACGTCGTGAGAATTTTTTATTGTTTTATATATATTTTGTTATTTTGTTGTTTCTCTTCAACGTGACTTTACCGAAAAAACTAAGAATATGAATTACTGCAGTCACGAAAGCTTTAAATCAAAATTTAATAATGTTCAGTTTAGAAATGTCAATGGCCCAAGTCATCAGCCATCAGCCATGATCTATCCGCTGCCGGATGAAGTACCCCCTCATCAATGGCCTACATATTCACAGTAAATCAGAAGCTTTATTTAAACTGGAGGAATCTGATAAGCTCCTTTTTAACAGGTATCCAGTAACATTCCATTTTAATAAAGCCAACACAACCCTGTCCTTACAATGCAACAAGCCATGCTAAGCATGAAAAAGATGAAAGGGCTGCACTCACTGCTTAAAGGCATAGTTGCCCATTAAGGACATGTGTGCCAGTCTGGAGCCCTTCACTCCGAGGCTCTCGCTTTGTGCACGTATGCCACACTCCATGTGTTTTAACCCCATGTGATAGCCATATCAACATTCATGCCGTGCTTGACAGAGGACAGCATGGAGCTTTTCAATGCCAGACATGTTTTATCAGTCATGGCATTCACCCTGATGCTCTGTACATTGCTGCAGTGCTCAGCTCACATCCTCTGCCTGCCTCACAGCGCAGCAGGGGCGGTGCTTTTAGTACTGTATTTATGGGTTTCCTTAATAATAACGCTTCTTTATATAGCTAGGTCAGCCCTATGTAATTTATGCTTAATCGTAAATATGATTTTCTAAGGACTGCTTTTGGGAAATTAGTTCAGAGTGGCGACGGGCGCAGTAGACATATCTCTCTCGATATTTATAGGATTTAATTAATTGAGCATTAAGGTGGTGGAGCAGAAAAGCTTGTTGTGTAGGAGGGCATTTTTCTTTAATTGTGTAATTTTATGGAATTTATAGAGCAATCTAATGGGTGTGGGGATACTTTATTGCTAATTATGGAGGGCCTGTACTTTGTAGTTAAAATGCGATAATTGGAGTGTATTTTAAATAAGAAAGTGGTGTTATTACATGCTGGGTAAAATACGTATTTGTTTAAACCCCACATGCATTGCCGGTTGTTTTTTTTGTAGCACTATTCATTGTCATTTTTACATTTTAATGCATTCACCTGCAACCTTTATTATTGTTTTATTCTAGTATTTTAAGTTTGCTACTCTAACTGTGTTTTATTGTGTCTTCTTCGCCTGCCGCCTTCGCTGCCGCTGCACCACTTTGACTCATGTAGCCACGAGCTCGGCCAAGCTGGAGGACCTCTCCTACTTGGACGAGCAGCGCTGCACTCCGCTCCGCACCTCCATCCGCATGCCGCGGCAGCAGGCAGCCGCCGGTCGGCTTCAGCAGGAGCTGCGAGGTGATGGCATGGTCCAGAAGAGCCCTCCTCCCCCTACCGTCACCCTCTTACCAGCTCATCATCATGAACATCATTGTTATCATCGTCATCATCATCATCGTTATCATCATCTCAATCTTCATGAACATCATCATCATTCCTTTATTCGTGTGGGTTTTTGGGGTGCTGGTATTGCTTTGACCATCAACTCTCTGGTGGTCTTGTGTGAACTGCACAACATCTGATGCCTGACTGCCTGTCCAAGCCTCTGTATTCATCATACAGCTGCTCCTTGACTGACTTTTCTTTATCCTTCCAGATTGCGCCTTGAAGGATCGTGTTGTCAAATCATTGCAGCTTCCTCCTCTTTGCTTTTGCCAGCAGTGCCTCTTGTACCCTGATCTTTTTTAGTCATCTCCGCACGAATTTACTTATTTTACAATGGGCAGTGTATGGAATTTGAGGCAGTCTTTGGAAGCACTACATCTCAAAAGCCTAGATTATCTTCCTGGTGTCAGTTGTGTAGTGTAGATGAATCACAGCCATGTAATGCTCAAGATTATTATTACCCTTGTCTAAAGAAGATCTATTTTAGTCTGCCCATATCTTGACTTAAAGCGTTCGTGACTGCAGGACTTTACAGAAAGACCGAAAGAATATCTGCCCATATCCTTCTTAATTTTTTCTAACATTTTTGTTGCCGTGGCCAATCTGGTCTTAACCTCGTTTTCTGGTCTTCTGTCCTCATTCATGTTTGTTCCTAAATGTTCAGAGGAGCTAACTCTTGAAAAAAAAAATCCCCCCTGATTATTTGTCCTCAATTACTTGATCACTAATCCTATGAGTCATCACCCTGCCTTCTCACCACCCAGTTTCTCTTCGAGCTGACTTCCCTACGATTAGCATCATTCGACGAGGGCTCACGTGACCTATGAGCCTATGTGCTACACATTATCACCAGGCAGTGTGTTGTGTGGTGTTGACATGGGCATACAGCTGTGAGAATTGCCTCTAGTAGGGTAAACTGTCTCACAAACACAACATTTTCCCGATGCTCAAATGACAAACGATGTACAGTACTATTTCCTTGTGGCCCAGTCGGCAAATGCGCCACCACTTTTGTCATTAATGAGCACTGTCTTGTAAATGAAAATAAACCTTTGAGTAACCAGGCTGCATTTATAAGTGCTGAAGTTGATAAGCGTTTTCTGCCTCAGCAAACACAGTCCCTGAATTGTATTACTTGCAACCTTTCCTGTCAACAAGAATAAATACCTGCTGTATTACATTTGAAAGACAGTCACTCCATAAGCTATTTGTGCACCGTGCATCTCTGCCTTTCCACACCTCACTGTGTTGGGGTCTCAGAATTGGGTCCGTGTGGTTGTCGGGTTCGGAGTTCATTGCCGTGTTTTCCCCGTCCCTACAGCTCGCTTCTACCCGTTCCAACCACCGGAGGCTGTCCTAAAGCCCCTGCTCTTCGAGGTGCCCAGCATCACGGCTGACTCCGTGTTCGTGGGTCGGGACTGGCTCTTTCACGAGGTCGAGGTGGCACTGTGCAGCGCCGACTCGCAGCGTAGCCGCGGTGCCATGGTGGCCGGGGACATCGGCTTCGGAAAGACGGCACTGGTGTCGCGGTTGGTGGCGCTCAGCTCGCATGGCAACCGCATGAGGCAGATCGTGTCGAGCAGTTCCAACCCAGCCCCCAGGGGTGAGTGTGGGCCAAACCCCGCAGCGCCTGCCCAGGCAGCAGTGGCGATTTGCGACTCTGCCTTTGTCTTGGCAATGTGTGCAGGTGCTTCATTTGAATAATAGGTTGCAGAGGAAGTGGCGACATCTGAGCTTCCTCCACAGGATGGGAGGATGAAATCCATGCAGTTTCCTGCAAAAGAGCCGGTCTGGCTAGGACCCAGCTCTGAAGCTTTGTTGTTTTCATATAAATATGTTGCTTCCGCCTTGCATTTATCAATAAATCGCCTGCACGTGTCGTCTGAAACTGGGAAAGTCGAGTTGGAGATGCCAGTCCCTTCAAACCAGAGCCACTGCTGCAAATCTGGCCATAAAGCTGTCTTTTGGATTGTACGTGCAAAATGTTACGATATTGTTTGCCGTTTTCCAAAGGTTTTTGCTTCTGCAATAGGTGTTTAATGCTATTTTGTTTTTCTTGATAATAAGCTTGGAGGACCAAAAGTGGATATAGAAGCTGATCCTGCTGAGCATTCATGTGATATATTGTTGTAGTGGCAGTTTAATTTTCTTACAAAGCCCACCCTTGCAAGATTGTAAAGTTCCTCTATTTAATACTTTGTAATTTTTGAGAGTGCAAAAACACAACATCGAATTAAAAGAAATGTAATATATTTGCTGGGGGGTTATGCTACAAGCTCAGAATAGATGGGTGTTGGTGCTCACTATATTTCTTACACTGGCTAAAGTTGTCTACATTTGTTTTCAAATATCGAATTCAAGCATAATGAAAAAATATGTTGCAGAAAAGCCACATTTCTTTCCATAATATTGACAAAATTGAAGCAGGTAGGTATGAGATGATTCATTAATTCATTGCTCAAAGGTGATTGTTATGTTAATAATATGCACATCAAATCATGCATCTCAGAATCGATTACTGAAGGCATGTAAATGATATGCAAAATATAAGTTGATATTCCCTTCAGGCTAATGGAGTGGATACACCTTTTTTTTAATGGGAATACAAATGAAACAGCAAAAATGTAAGGTCCCTTTATTAAAATCGCGTCCATCAATAGTGACAAACTGTTGAGCAACACGCGCATTGTAGCGAGCACTGCAGATTTTTGGATAATAACCCCGGAGACAGGTTAAGGGCCCCGCCAGTAGCTTGGCGCTCATCTCCAGCTTGCTTCGCTTGCGCTGGTGTCTGCGAGCAGGTGCCGACTCCCTGCAGGAGCTGTCCCTCACCTACACGCCACAGCCCAGCCCTCACAGCAGCAGCGCCAGCCTGGTCAGCACGGGCAGCTGCCCAAGCACCCCCGAGCTACGGAGGCTGCGCGAGGGAGCTGTGACTCGTCTGGCCGCGCGGGTAACCCCCTCGCACCCGAACAGTCAACTACTTCCATCACTTATTCAACTCAAGGCTTTTTGGATTGAACGGTTAAAGGTTTCGCTAAAGTTTTCTTAAGGATTTAAATGCCTGCCGCCCAAGGTTGGAACACAATCTGGATGCATTGCAGTGTGTGTGGTGGTGGTGGTGGTAGTAACGAACACACCGATTAACAGCGACTTGGAAGCGTTAGTAGATCACGCAGGAGGCTACAATGTGTGCTTGCTTGGCAAACATGTTGCTTCAGTAGACCTCCTTTGCCAGTACCAAAATGTAATAATAGGGTTTTCCCCTTTTTTCTGGCAACAAAACTGAAACCGTTTTACAAGGATTCATGTCTGCATTAACCACAATCAATACCTGCAGTCAAAATGCAAACAAAAACATACTATGATAATATATGCATTGTCCTTGAAACTGAAAAGAAAGCCATCCCTTGGTGTGGACCAATCAGTTTCAAGGACAATGCATATATTATCATAGTATGTTTTTTGTTTGCATTTTGACTGCAGGTATTGTGGTTAATGCAGACATGAATCCTTGTCACAAAAGGTTTCAGTTTTGTTGCCAGAAAAAAGGGGAAAAACCCTATTATTAAACATGTTGCTGTTGTATTTAAGCAGGAAAGCAAATAGAGTGTGCAGCTTGACTGTTCTCCGCTGACGTATGTATGTTTTCTGTGTGCACTCAGATTTTCTTCCACATGTGGACGGTAGGAATTGGTCAAATTTCCTCGGCAGAATCCTCCTTATAAAGAGCAGTGACTCAGTGTTGCTTTGGTGGGTAAAGGGTAGAATGTAAAAATGCATATGATCTAATTTGTATTGATGCAGAACAAAGATGCACCAACTGGATGAAATCCAACAATAACAGGTGTCCAGTCTGATAATAATTTTGGCCCATGCACAGCAACAATAGTGATGGAGTATTCACGTACAGAGAGAAGCCTTGAAGCAAGTCTGTTTATACACCGGCAATGATAATTAGCTGGTGTTGGAATAGATGATGTATGCTTACTTCGTGGGCTCTTGGGTTTCTGTGTTAAAAAAGCAGCCTTGGCCTCCGATCATGTTTTGTGCGGATATTGTTAAAAATATTTGTCACCTTATCGACTATAAGAATACAAGCGTAGAGCTATCTTGATCAAGACTTTTTTTAATTGCCAGCCTTCACAGGTTGAACTTTGCTCAGTGCGTGCCAGTTTGTTTATGCTTGTGATGAGCATGTCAATCGATTTCTCTAATTTGTAATTGTCTCACAGCAAGATTTATAACGCTTTCTGTCCGGCTGTGTAGGGCCATGGCATTAGTGCTTGTCTGGCAGTCAGATATTAATGACTTCAATTTCTGAGCAGGGGTCAACCCTCCATATTTAAAAACATTGTACCACACTGTGGGAAAGCAACTATGGTCATGTACTGTCTCAGGCTCATCAAGTTAGATTCGTTTTTTAGCTTACATTCACTCGGAGCTTGGGGAAGGTTACTATGCACTACCGAAAGTTAATACATAAGTGTTTTACAGCCCTTTTCTCAACCCGTTTCTGGATTCAATTCCTAAAATTCTCCTTATGCAGTGTCAGTCATGGAAGTTGGTTGTTGGCCGTACTTCACCACGCTTGTTATTGCGGGTGGATGCAAGAAGGTTGCCTACTATCGGTTCAGATAGCACTTGCAGCTGATTTTAGCCATGGTCAGGAATCCAACTTAAGTGACTGGGCTCAAAACAAAGTGCGCTAACCGCCGTGTCACGAGCTTCAAACAAATAAAGGTGCAGCCCTGAGGTTTCTTGTCCACGACCCTGTTGGCAGAAGGTCCTCCACTAGAGCGAGAGCCAGAGAACCACCTTTAGAGGTTATTTGTCCTACCCATCCACGATGGCTAGATGTCTTGGAAGATGTGGGAGTAGCCCAGACTTTATCCCACCTCATGTAACCTCCCGAAAGACTAACTGTGGTGTACCCATTTATACCCCTGCGTGGATAGAGGTGGCGGAGATTTAAGAAACTCGCCCGGTGTGTTAATTGCCTGGAGCCGCCCTGTTTATAAAGTTGTCCGCTGGTGTTTTGCGTGATGTGTCTCTCAAAGGTGGTGTCCTACCACTACTGCCAGGCTGACAACGCCTACACCTGCCTGGTGCCCGAGTTTGTACACAGCACGGCGGCGCTATTGTGCCGCTCACCGCAGCTGCCCGCGTACCGCGAACTGCTCATGCGGGAGCCGCACGCGCTGCCCGTGCTCAGCCTGCGCTCGTGCGTGCAGGACCCGGCCGCCGCCTTCCGCCGCGGCATCCTCGAGCCGCTCTCCACGCTGCGCAGAGGTCGTGCCCCTTGACTTAACCCCTCCTGCACCCGGCAAGCGCGCGTGGTCGTCAGCCCGGGAACGGGAAATCACAGTTGGGACATCGCCACCCTGGGAGGTCCCGTATTCTGTGTGGCTTAGACATGTGATGGGTTTGGGGCTCCAAAACTGCCAAGATGATGTTTTATGGAGAAAGGCAGAATTTTTGTTTAACTGAAATGGGCTTTCTCCCTGTACAAGTACCAATCTGGATCATAGTCAGGACTCCTGCCCTTCCACAATACAGAATTAGAACGCCCGTGATAATTTGTTGTTCTGCTCTAATCACACACTAATCTCACTGAGCTGCCACGTGCAAATGCTTAATGTGGATTTGCATAATTTATGCGAGGACACTTCCGGTTTGTTGTCCTGGCTCTGAAAAGCCCGGCTGCGAGACTTAATTCTGTACTTAGTATTCCAAGCCAGTGTGCGAGAGATAATTCTTCTTCAGGCTGCAGGCTGCGTGTGGCTTCCGCGGTGCTTTTACGGGTTAGCGTTATAGGACCGTTGCCTAGCAGCCCGTGACAGGGTTAGGGGGGGGATGTCTCGTGGTGATTCGAGGTTGTTATGGTAAAAGTTGGTGATAAAGGCCCGACGCCATCCTTGACACCAATGCTGACCCCCCTCACCCCCTGGCATACCTCTTGGCCCAAGGCAGGGAGAAGGAAAATATGCTGAACGTTTATATGTGTTGCTTCGTGGGTTCTTTTAAAGCAAATATTCCGCTCGGTGATCCTTCGATGGTTGTATAGAATTGCAGAGGTATTCAAGAGTACAGTAGAGTATTGTGTTCATAAACATTAAACTCAAAATAATATTTCCACTACCAGACAATCATTACTTAGAATGATTGTTGTTATTTTATGAATGATTTTTTTCATCGATTAAGCCACAAACTTTGTTATACATTCATAGTCTGCAGTCAAATCATTTTACTGTCGAGTTGTTTTTAGTCGTAAAAAAATGCCATTGAATAATAATGAAATACACCAATGAGAATTTTAACGATGTCATAATGTAATGAATTAAATAAAACAGCAACCATGATTAATAATGCCAATTAATATTTAATTGGTAAATAAAGCCATATCCATAAGTTGAGGTACAAATCACATTTTTTTACTTTTCCAGATGAGATGCCCAAAGCCCTGGGTGCAAGTGAACGATGCTAAAGAGGCCTTAAACCGGTGTCCCCTGATTCTGTTGCTTGTTGATTTCCCCCGAGAGGTGTTGGCGTAGTTTCTTAGGTCATTTTGCAGCTCCGCAGATAGCTGAGGAGAAGAGTGAGTAACACTCAAGAGACGTTCAAATGTAATTTTGATTCGTTTATGAAAGACACGTGATCTATCGTGGAGCATCACGGTGAATCGCGAGGCACCAAGGCCCACAACCAAGGTTTCTGTCATTTGATCGGGATGCAATTAATTTAAACAAACAACGAACATTTAATTTGCTACGTCTCCATTTTATGTAAGGTGCCTGGAGCGATTAATCACACATGTGAATGTGAGAAACGATTTTGTAGCCGTGTTTTACTTGGCTCTCTTCCCTCCTTAACGCCGCCTCAGGACAAAGTGAACGGGGGTGGACAGGAAGCGACGGGGGAGCTCGGTGATACTCGGGCACTCACGTGTCATGACTATGCCCGCTGGTGATTACAGAGAGGAGAATCCCGGAGGAAAACTTCATAATCCTGATCGACGGCCTGAACGAAGCAGAGTTCCACAAGCCCGACTATGGAGACACCATCACCTCCTTCCTTGCCAAGATGCTGCCGCGGTTCCCGGTCTGGCTCAAGCTGGTGGTGACGGTGCGCTCCAAGCTGCAGGTCAGGGGGCACGCGGTCAGGGGGTGCGTGGAACGGGAGCCATCACGACGGGAAGGCTCAAGACGCACCGAGACATGTCGTGCTGTTTTGGTTTTCTCAGAGATAGTCCAGCGCTCACTCGGGCAATGTGACCTAATCCTGTAAACAAATATTGGTGAAAATGTTGAATTCACTGCAGAAATGTAAACAGGATTTTTTTCCCTATCAACGGGAAAAAAAAAGATCTTGATGATTCATTCAATTTGCATTCAGGATATTAAGCAATGCAATATAAGCTTTCGATTAAAAAGTGAAAATATCACAAAGTACTGTTAAAACAAATATGTTTATCTGGTATTTATTTGTGATTGGAATGACCTGTTTTATCAGATAGGAATGTGTTGGCTGCGGTGTGGACGTTAGGAATAGAGGCATAGAACGCCTCGGTGCTAATTCACACGGCGCTCAAGCCTTGTGGGAAGTTATTATTAGGCTACAGATATACACTTTGGCTGCTGTTATTCTTGGAAAAGCATTCATAAATGCAAAGTGCATATTTTTCCATCTAAATTTGGTTGCAGATGTTCTGTTAATAGCAGTCTGGTGTGGTGTTTTTCTCCACTTATTTTCGAACGATAGCCTTTAAAATAATGGTAACTAAAAAAATGTGTATAAAACATTTGCGAGTTTGAAATTTTAGGAGCATTTTAATTACATTTGTGTGTACGTATGCAATGGCAGAGCCAGGATTTTCAGGTAGGGGGGGCAACCCCTCCAGCAATGAAAAATTATAGAGGAGTTGTTAGTAAGTAAGAAATTGTCCCTTGCTCTTTATTCGACGCATGTGCGGCGATGGCGCAGCCATCGATCGAAAGTCGAATTCGAACCGCGTTGTGTGATCGGCATCGCGCTCGCTGAAGGTGAATGCCTTCAGGGAAGTCGTGTACTGTATACGCAACTGCGCACAATTTTGAGTCACTTATAACTGCTTTGCCGTTACTTATTGCCAATTATGGACTCAGACTATTGTCCTATCATCTCATAGAGTCCCTGGCACATAATATGCTACACAGTGGCAGTGGGGGTCGCAAAATGCCGATTGATTACTAATAAACCCCAATGATCTGATCGAAATTAGGGATTTCGATTGGATCATTGGGGGGGCACGTGCCACCCCACCCACTGGCTCCGCCAGTGTACGTATGACTTTATTACATCGGATGAAATTATTCCATGTCATGTTGCTGGCTAATCAGTTTCTTTCAAATTCTGTAGGCAGATAAAACTATTTATAAAATGTAGCCCAAGTAATGCGGTTATTTTTAAAGCTATCATAGTGTGGAACTAGAGCAATGTGTTAATTAAGTGGCAGACACCCCATCTGAATTGAGAAGCGGTCACAGATGACAGATACAAAAAATGTATGGTTACTTTTTCACATTCTAACGACTAGAAATTAGTTTTACACCATTATTTTATGTTCTGCAATCAAATACTTTTTAGCTTCACGTTTAAAGTTTATGTTTTACTTAATGTTTTCAGCAAACCATAATGAATAGTCGCTGCAGTCTAAAGGGCCTGACTCTTGACTGGAGTTTATCCTATTTTTTGTTTTACTTGCTGTGCTTTGTTGGCTTCCACCGACAGTGATTTGTCTCCATGAGTTCAACGTGGGAAAGGCTGCTCTCCAAACTGGTCCAGTCAGCTGCCGTTAGAGACACCGCTTAGCAGCGCAAATGAGTGCCCTCTACCTAAAGCGTGATTAATCTCCCCTTGAAGTGGGATGGCGAGCTACTCTGTAAAACCTTCCCTCCGTATAATAGCACTTCCTTTCAAGGTGACCTTCATTTACATGGCCAGCATTTGGCAGAGCATTTGTAAATTCATAGGGCTCCTTGTTGTAGACGTAATGAAGAATTGGGAGCATTCGCACCAATTAAACATTACATTATGATGGCATGTACCTATCCACTTGCCTGATATTGCACACTCCCTTCGTCGCGCTGCGAATTCTAATTACTGTTCACCCACCTCCTTTGCCTTTCTCGTGTTATTCCTCCCTCCTTCCACTCATCGCCACCTCTTTTTTATTGACCCATCCCTCCTCCTTTATCTTCAGGCCATTGTGGAAGCTTTTCCATTCCACACAGTATCCCTGGATGGCTTTGGGGAGCGGGAGGAGATTTCTGCAGACCTGCAGGCCTACGTGTCGTCACGCGTTCAGAGCAGCTGTGAGATCCAGCAGAACGTGTCTCTAGGCACGGGGCGTCTGGACACCATCGCTCTGGGCCGCCTCGGGGGCCACCTGTGCTCGCTCAGCCGTGGCTCCTTCCTCTACCTCCGCCTCACCCTCGACCTCATCGAGTGGGGTCACCTCGTGCTCAAGAGCTCCAGCTACAAGGTCGGTTGCAGGGTCACCTGATGGGTTCACTTTTGGCCATGCTGACGCTTCACCGGGCATGTAGCGATCCGCCTCCCCCCACCTCCCCAACTCGTCGTGAGCAAATGATTGTGATTCCGTTCAAGAATCAATACAATTTTTTATGTTGTGATGAATGAGGTGGCCTTTAGAGGCTGCAAGGCCCACGTGAAAGATTTATACAGAACATATCTGAATCTAACATCGGGTATTCTCGCACGCACGATGCTCTGCGTGAGAACCTAATGGTTGATTTTCGTGTTATGCCTATATTTGGCTACTTTTGAGAATACACTTGTTTTAGTATCCAGCTATATCTTAATTTATTACCACGTGAGAGAAATTTGAGATACTTTGGTTAAATGCAGTTGCAAAAATAGATACAGAAGAAAGAAAATACAGGACAGTGAAAAAACATGTATATAAAATGCCAAAAAATAAACCCTTATTCAAGGCAACTATGAATAAATATGCCTTTCCTATAATCCAATGAATAACTATGATAAAGAGCTTACATTGAGAAATAATAATAATGTTAAATTTTTAGTTTAATCATTTCAGGAGGCAGTACAGCAAATAATCACGGGCTCTGCATGTTGGTTTTCTCTGGGCGTTTGAGTAAATATAAATGGCAAGCTTAGTATGAAACATCTCAGACAGCTACGTACCTGGGGGAAATATAACAGGTGGACGAGAGAACAAAAACTACTCATCAATAAATCAACTTAAATAGAAATAGGAAAGATTTTGGTGACAACGAGTATATTTAAGCATCCAGCGATTTGCACGCTTGATGATAGCGGAGCTTGCTGCCGTTGCTGCTGCTGCTGCTTCCGCTGTTGCTCTTGCTTTTGCTGCTGATGTTGCTGATGCTTCTGCCACCATCGTCGCGCAGGTGGTGCCCGTGTCACTGGCCGAGCTCTACCTGCTGCAGTGCAACATGCGCTTCCCCACGACGTCCGCCTTCGAGCGTGTGCTGCCGCTGCTCAATGTGGCGCTGGCCTCACTGCACCCGCTCACGGACGAGCAGGCATTCCGCGCCGTGGCGGCTGGTTGGGTGGCGCCGCGTGCGACGGCGGTGTCGGCGTCGTCGGGCAGGTCGCGAAGGGCTGGCAGCGAGTTGGACGAGGTGACGCCGGCTGATGAACGCCGGCAGGACGAGCAGCAGGCGGCGGCGGTGGCAGGGATGGCGCCACCGCTCTCCTGGGAGGATTTCCAGGCGCGGATGGAGATGCTGTCGGCGTTCCTGGTGCGTCGGCGCGACGGCACGCGCATGTTCTGTCACCCGTCCTTCCGGGAGTGGCTCACCTGGAGGACGGGGGAGGGGCAGAGCACCAAGTTTCTTTGTGACCCGAGGTAAGCAATAAAACAGTCGAGTACGATCGTCACATTGTATCTTGGAGGTGGCCACCTATGAAAAGCAGGCTTATCGTGAGCTGTTGGGTCTTTCAGTAAAGTCACGTAGATAGATTCAAAGAAAATAGGAACAGCGGTCGTATTCAGGAAGACGACTGCTTGTGTTTTGCGATCGAAACTTCGTAGTTTTTTGTTATTTTCTTTGAATCTATCTACGTGACTTTACCAAATGACCCAAGAATATGAATTTCTGCAGTCACGAAAGCTTAAGTCAGGATTTATCGTAATTACTGTACTAAAGTCTACTTTTAAAATGTAGGGGGTTGGGAGGGGGAATTTTCTCTTTTCCTGTGATACAAAGGGTTAAAGCATTCCTCAGGGCATTACTATTTGGATTTGTGTTTGCCATTGTAAATGGCTTGTGTTTTACTAGAGATTTGAGTGCAAAAACTTTTGTGATTAACTGCAGCTCGGTGATAAATTGAATGAACAAGGGAGTGATTTTTCACTGCTTGTCAAATGCAAATCAAAAGTTTGGCAGGAAGTGCTTTTGAAGTTTTTCCAAAATAATATTTGATTGCCAGTAGAGCATGAGCATTTTCCCTTCTCATGACTGATTGCCAAGCTCCAGACTTGTACTAGCAGGAAACGCAGGATTAGGCCGGTGCTCTTCTGCGTTCACTCGGGAACCTTTCCTATCACATGCTGTGCTGTTGTCCATGGTTAGGCTCCTTTTAATGTGGGGAACAAAGGGTCTGTTTCGATCAAGTTACGCAAGTAACTGCATTGCCAGTGGTTTCCTGACATGTGACCAAACAACAAATTACTGAAAGGATATAAAAAAAACCTCATCACTGTTAAGCGTTGACAATGATGATGGCGGTGGCGGCAGCAGTGAGGGTCTTTGCACATTTTTATTGTTTGGACAAATGTCATTGGCTCAAACAGGCAAATTAAAGATTCCTGCATCGGCTTATGTTTCCTTACAAAGGCGAGTGGGACAGACAGGCTTTAAATGTGTGTGTCTGTGAAAACAATCTTGAGGAGCAGAGGGACCCCTTCCCCGACCCCCCACTGCCACTCCCCCGAGGCAAAGCCTAATTTGGAGCTTCGCGCATCCTCTTTCATGTGCTCAGAAACAATTCTAGGCATGTGGATATCTGATGGCTGCGGTGAACTGACACCAGACAAACGCGGCCAACTCTAACGCGGATCTGGTTTGGCTTTGCAGTCAAAACACGCAGGAAGCCAGATGTACACTTTGCATACCAGCATGGATGACTATGGCCGATAAAGGACGAGGCTTTGCTCCTTTGGGCTCCCTCGTGCCTGCACGCTGCCGACTCGTGTGCACCTGTGATGAGAATTGTCCAATGCAATGTCCAATGCGAAGGCATGTTACCTTTTGAAGGGGTTCAAACATCACACGCGTTTACCGCAAAAGACCCACAACCAGGCAGATGGCCAGTGATGGGGACATGACATTTTTTTATCTGCTCATGGAGATTAAGTGCCAATGTATGAGGACACATGATATGCTAAATAATTAAAGTGCTCAAAGCCCAGTACTTTACCCTTTTCCCTATTGTAATTGTGGAGGATATTTGTTATAAGAAATCCCTTTGGCTTGTCTGTTGGCTTAGATGCCGGCCTCGATAGGCTTTTGTCTGTCATGCTGGTGACTTTTAACACATTGGCAGTTTACATAACTTTCAAGGTGGGTAGTTTCATTAAAAATATAAACACGGAGTTTGCAAATTCAAAACACAAATCTCTTCACATCTGATATATAAAAGAGTGAGTTATCTGTAATTAAACATTTCCTCTTTGATATAACTTTTTTTTTCATCGCCCTCAAAGCGTGCAGTGAATGCTGCAGTAGAATTAACTCCTAAGCTGGCGATGAGGCCAGAAAAATGGATTTGACTTTCAGAGCGAGGACATTAATGGTAAGACCATATTGTGTGGTATACGAGTGGGGGCCAATGGCTTTGCCCGAATGCAGCTTCACAGCTTTTACAGTTGCCAGCACCACACTGGCAGTCTCTTGGCCGCTGCGGTTGTGAAGTCTCCACCAATCCTTCCTTGACACTCGCAGGCGAGGGTCTCTGGCAAGCGGCACGCGTCTTTGTCTTCCCTTGTCATTTACACCCGCTCATGTATAATCTGGAGGTTGCCTCACAACCCCAGCCGAGTTAATTCTGAGTTGGACCAAGTGGCCCATTTAAGGGAAAGAGTTTTGTTTGTGTTTGGCGATCGATGGGCGAGTATACCCAACTTGCATGGCTTTTTTTGGGCGTCGCTAATTGGGCTGAAAATATCATTGCACGTTGGTAATTGCGTGCTCGCCGCCCGTAAAACTGTGTGCTCTTTGCTTTACTTCTGCAGTGCTGAACCAAAAAAGGAAATGTTGACGACTGTTACAAATGCTTTGTTTGTTTCTTTAAAAAAAAGAATGTGCCTGTGTGAGCATAATGCATTAAATCATTAATCGTCCTGTATAGTGCAGCTCCATCAGTTTATTTATTCTCTATTGTGCGGCATAAGCATTGCCAAGCTCCGGTATAGAGCGCACTCTGACGCTGAAGCACAAGACACAACGTGGTAAGCACATGCGTCCGAGTTGTTGCAATCGTGTTGAGAAGTTATTGAAGAGAAGTAGGCACACACAGACATACACACACGGCAAGATGAATTATGGAATTGTAATTGCTGGGCAATTAATGTTATTAAACTGCAAGAAAGAAGTCTTAAGTAGGTCGTATGCATAGAGCAGCACAGTTTGACTTGAGCCTGCCAACAATGTCAGACGCTGGCTATTATACGATATTGGAAACAGTGTAAGTGGGCTGGATGCTGAATCCTCTGAAAGTGGAAACACATGCTGTGATTAATGGTTCGTTGATAGCTGTAAAAAAAATTCCATCGGTTTTGGTGCCCGCCTCGTTAGATGTTGTAAAGTTCTGCTCGCTTAGTAAAAAGAAAAGCATGCCACTGATTACCTGCTCGAGTTATAACGGAGGTCTTGTTCAGATGTGTCTCTTGAAGTTTCACCTACTGCGTTGAGGTTAATTGCTGGAAATGTTACTTTTAATTGGACATCTGGAACACTTTAGTGAGGAAGGCGGTGTGAGCCGTTTATTATATAGGGGGGGAGTGTATGTGTTGCTCGGTAAATAGCGTTAGGTCTCTTTTGAAGAACACTGGAACGTTTATCCCTAAATCTTAAATCTGAATTCCCAACTGCCTGCGCTATGCATTTATTTAAAGATTTGGAGGAAATTATGATCCTTCAGTATTATACTTTTTCAAATGCTCATTTGAAAAAAAAGGATATTAGGCTTGCTTTTGTAGCGACATGAAGGCACTGTACATAATTTTCTTCAAACCCATTCTTTACATTTTAAACAGAAAGACTTTTGGAAATGTGAGACACGGTTTACTTGGCGTTGATCCCATTTTCATTGATTTGCAGGTGTACACCCTGATGCTTGTGCTGTCAGTATTGAGATACACATCTATAAACTAAACCTAGAAATGAATGGAAAATCCACCCAGGGTCAGTCATGTGCATCAAAAAAGAATGACAAAAGGAAGCTGGTAGAGTGACAATCGGCACCTGACTTATACAACTGTTGGAATGGGTCTCTCCTTGTAGTTGGGGAATGTTGTTTGTGGGGGGGGGATGGGAGCGTATTGACTCTGGCGGAGCGGGTGATGACGGAGTGCGATGTGGGTTTGTGCAGGAGTGGACATGCGCTGCTGGCCTTCCTCTTCTCGCGCCAAGACAGCAAGCTGAACCGACAGCAGACCATCGAGCTGGGCCACCACATTCTGAAGGCACGCATCTACAAGGTGAAATGTCAATGGGCATTCACCCACGTGCCACGTGCACACACAGACAGAAGTTCCCTGTGTAGACGTGGCTGTTGGGGCAAGTGCTGTCGGTGATCACATATTAAGACCGGCATGGGACGTGATGGGGTGGTGTGGCATGACCAGAACCACGCCCGACCACCTTTGTCTCCCCAATTCTGATGTTTACACCCCACACCAGGTACTCATTTGAGTTCACCTCAGGGATACCCAGGGCCAGTTAAGATATTACTCTCGCAATACTATTAGGGTTATAATGCAGTGCATTAACCACTTTGCTACAACTCCCTCTGAAACACACCATGATGTCAGTCTACACCACTAAAAAGAGAATCCAATAACTAATTGAATGTTAGCAGAGATTTGGAAGTTTTTCCAAATTAATAAACGGCAACAAATGAGCGTTTCATTTGATCCACACATTTCCTTTTTCTGGCTATGGCCACATGGCAGTTTGATGCGAAATTTATTGTTTTTACCCCTCATCACCCAACAAGATTGTCTCGTTTACAAACATTATTTATACATGGCCAATATATGGATAAATGAAGACTTTCCGTGGCTGAATTAAGTGTTAATGTATGACCATGTTTTGCTCAAACTGCGTTGATCTGCATCAGGTCGTGAGCTCGAAAATCAAGTGCTGCAGTTGCCCACCACATTGTATTTTTATCGATTTTGCTCTGGTATTAATCTTATTTATTATGTTAAACATGGCCGACAAACATCATCTGTGTGTCACCATCATAATTGGGTGTCATCCTCATTTGATGCTGGTCTGTGGCCAAGAAGCCTTGAACACGACACGCCCAGCTTCAGGGGTGATATTTACACTTGGATTTATCCCACCACCTGCGCAGCTGCTCAGCTCACCACGCCTCTTCAATGCAGGCTTCCACATTTACGGTGCTCAAAGCAGAGCTATGGGAAGCTGTGATTAGGTGCAACACTTTGCATGAAAAGGATTCTTTGTAGATTGCCTTTGTTTTCTTTCTTGAATGTTAGAATCAAAACACGAGCCTGGAAAAGCCATCCAGTTTAAATAAACCCCTGAGTCTGTTGGGATTGCTATCAGCCGTTAAGTTTGAGTTTTAAGAAAACTTAAATCTTGCTGACTTTCCGGTGTTCACGTTATTATTCTGTGGCAGCAGCTGGATAACCATCGGGTTCTATCCCATGCAGGCCCCATCGGCGGTCGCATTCTCACACTGTGTGCAGCTGGGTGCAGCTGGGTACATTGCACTCACAGACATTTGTTTCTATGCTTTGCGCAGGGCTTAAGCAAGCGGCTGGGCGTGTCCTCATCAGTGCTGCAGGCGCTGTGGGTGGCGTTCAGCACGGACGGGCTCTCGACGGCGCTTGCCTCTTTGCGCAATCTGTACACACCCAATGTGAAGGTAATAGCTGCCATTGCCTGGCATCAGGGCCCCTGGGTTCAGTTGACGATCATAGCAGCTGTCGAAAGTATTTTATTATTGTGAGTAATTTGTTTACTCAACACAGCTTCACTGAGTCACATGATTCTTTCTTTGGAGGATCCTGCCATATTTTTGCAGTCGGGGATGATGTTTGCTACATTTAATAAGAATTTAGTAAATTGAGTCACTTGTGGGTAATTTGGTAAATTTGGACCGGGACACCTGCAACCACTTGTAAATAACATCCCGGATTTTTAATGTCCACTGAAGTAGCTGACAAGTATTGTTATGGTTAATACAACTGATTTATTAATTGGGGTGGCCGCTGGATTCGAACCATGCACCTGTGCAGCAAGCGGCAACTCGATAATACTGGGAGGTGTCGCCAATCCATATGACGGGCGTGACTTGAGGGGGGGGAAGATGAGGTTGCATTGCAGTGAGATTTCTATGAAATCTAGACAATATTTTTGGTGATACTCGGTTGACAGTGGTACACAAACACAAATAACTAAAATGTGCCATGAAGAAGGAACATTGCCCAAAAATGTAGGTTATTATATATTTTTCAATTTTAGGCGGTGTTGTTGACCAATGTGAGTTTTTTTCATGATACCTAGAGATATTTTATGGCTGTCTTTTTGAGAAGCTGCAGGAAGTTTAATGAACAAATATTGTCTTTTCAAAATGTTTCTGGTGAATTGATTAAAAAAAACCTATGCTTGTATATAGACCAATTCTATGTGTTTTTGTGCAGAATAAGCAAAACGGGTTTAATTTTGAGAGATTCCCTTATTGAACCCAAGGTCAGACTTTTCAATATTTTGGATTTTGGTAAATAAAAAAATATATTTTATGAATGGGTTTTCAGTTGAACTCTAGAATCTCAGGTCAAAGGGCGATGATTTATCTTATCAGATCTCTTGGCAGCAGGACGTAGCTGTATAACCTGCTGCTGTTTGTACGGACTACCTCATTTTTTATAAATAAAAAAACATGGGTTCCATAGTAACATTACCAAACTGTGAGTTAGGTAACTGAATGCTTTCCCCCTAAAGGATGCAGTGGACTGACTGATCATTCATTGTGAAGACTTTTCCTGTGTGTGCTTTGGGCTGTATCTCACAACCTGGTTATTGCTGATATTTGTTCAGCAGGACTGCATTCTCTTCATACAAAAGCAAGGTGCTTTAATACTCTTTGATGGCAAGTGCGCCGAGAAAAATTGATTTTGTGGCTCCCCCATTCTTGGCCGCAAACAAAGCGTGTTTGTCGTGGCCCTTAAGTGACTTCTGGTACTTGTGTTTTGCGTGCTGGTTTGGTTTTCGTTGTACCCACCTCCGTGCAGGTCAGTCGGCTGTTGATCCAGGCAGGCGCAGACGTGAACCACCGTACAGAGGCGCTGGGCAATGCACCCATCCTGTGCGTTTACTCGTACCTCGGTTATCAGGTGAGCAGCAGCGCCTGCAGAGGCGCAACGTATGGCATATCCAGCTTTGATCAGCTCTGCATTCAAAAGGCAGCCCATATGTTATCCGGCGATTTCTTCCCATTAAAATCTCCTCCTCGCTCAATCCTACTTGGAGTGCGTACAGTCTAATAATGTTATCTGCACTGAATCTCTGTTGTGCGTTATCACTGCCACAAGGCTATAGTTTTGCATTGTATGTGTTGTATATAAGTGATTACAAACTGTTGTCGATGGGGAAAAAGGGAAGGCATGCATTTAACTTCTGTGAGAGCCACTCTCTGAACGGCACTGGAGAGTTGACCAATAATCATTCTCTGCTTGCTATCAACCTCATGGACCGAAACGCAAGCTCACGAGGAGGAAATATGAAGCTCAATTTATGTTATAATTCGCTGTGTCTACCTGACATTAAAGTTCAGGTTCAATCACAAAACATTCCATGAATCTGTGAAGTATGTTCATTACTCCCAAAAAATTAAAAAATTTCTCCAATTAGTTTTTTTTACCTCTTTTGGAAATGGATGATAGTATTGAAAACCCTGTTTTGAAAATTGGGAGAGCCTGCTGGGAGCTTATGGATAATAAATGCACGGTAACTTCACATTAGTCTCATTTTATGCAAATGTCTATGAATACATTTACAAATATAAAATCTTACATTAGTATGAAAGCCTGAAGCATATATTGGGCATGCATCCCCACTCCAAAAGAGGCATATCTACATTAGGTATTGAGCAGCACACTGCTGCGGCACATGCGTGCCGGATGAAAACGTGGCCGGATGACGAGCCAAGTAATTTACTGTTCATCTGTCGCAGGATATGGAGAGCGTTCTCCTGGAGATGGGCGCCGACCCCAACCTGGCTTCGGAAAGTGGAATGTCTGCGCTCTGTTACGCTGCTTCCAGCGGACACCTGGGCATCGTCAGAATGCTCACGAGGAAAGGAGCCAAGGTGAGGGGACGGCACATGCGCGTAATTGCGAACAGTACTCTGCGTGGTCCTGGCTAGTTATCGTAGCGCATGATATACGGTAATGTGCATTGCCCTTGAATTTTCCTCAGTGAGATTTTATCGGGAATTCAGGCCATTTGTGTGATAAAACATTCATTAAACCTTGTGGCGGTATATATTGCATTGTGCATGGTTTGTGTTTACGTGGAAATTATGAGGACCTTTCACGCATTTGTTTGGATCGGTTGTTTTTAGAAACAAGGGCATATCATCATCATTAGACCTCCTTTGCCAGTACCAAAATGTAATAATAGGGTTTTTTCCCCTTTTTTCTGGCAACAAAACTGAAACCTTTTTACAAGGATTCATGTCTGCATTAACCACAATACCTGCAGTCAAAATGTAAAAAAAAAATACTATGATAATATATGCATTGTCCTTGAAACTGATTAGTCCACACCAAGGGATGGTTTTCTTTTGAGCCTCGACATAATTGGTCGAGCACCAATTAGTACAGCACAGTTTAATTTCGTGGACATGAAACGCTTCATTCCCCTTGTGATTAAATTCATTTATATTGTGGTCATTCCGTTTAATCACGGGGTCCCCAACCCCCAGGCCGCGGACCGGTACCGGTCCGTGGCCTGTTAGGAACCGGGCCGCACAGCGGTGGGCGAGTGAGCGAAGCTTCATCTGTATTTACAGCCGCTCCCCATCGCTCGCATTACCGTCTGAGCTCTGCCTCCTGTCAGATCAGCCGCGGCATTCGATTCTCATAGGAGCACGAACCCTACTGTAAACTGCGCATGTGAGGGATCTAGGTTGCACGCTCCTTATGAGAAGTCAGAATCCGACACTTATTTTAGTCCGCGCGTGGCCAGCCCATTATTTTATTTACCACTTCCGTCCATGCCTCTTTCCGCACTGCGCACTTGTCACCGTTTTGGTAAGCCCACAAGCTAACCCTAGACAAAATGAGTTAAAATCAAACGTCGCTGGAGAGCTTCTTTGAAAAGGGGGAAAGACCCAATGGTGAACCTCCCCCCCCGGTCCGTGAAAAAATTGTCTTCCACGAAACCGGTCCCTGGTGCCAAAAAGTTTGGAGGACCGCTGCGTTAAATGACAGTGTTTGATGTGCCATTGCGTTGAACATAGCGCCTCTAGTGGGTGCAAGGCTCACGTGAACCAACCACGTACAACGTACAGTAAGTAAAGCCTCGTTTTTTCGGTATTTGATCATTCGTAATTGGGGATAATTCGTCACGGTCGTGCTTTTGGCATATACAGTATTAGTCATTCGCCATGAGCCGAATTTCTGTACCGAATGGTCCAATGTTGGCATACACGTGGAGCGATGCCACGCGCCACGACCAAACCAATGACTCAGTGTGGTGGCGGCGCACGTGGTGAGCGTTCGTGCAGAGCCGTCGTTGCTTTGGACTTTACCTTGTTTATGCACTCTGTGCAAGCCAACCCTCTCAGAAATGTCATCTACACCCACATCAAGAAGTAATAGAAAGGGACTGAAGTATAAGTCCCTTAGTCTGCGAGACAAATCCAAAGTTTTGGATTGAATTGATGCAGGTGTGTCAATGCGTATGGTGTGTGAAGAGTTTGGAACACAAATTTGGGAGAAAAAATTTGGGGCAGGAGGCATTGGGGAGTACCATTGTATATAATTCGAAACATTAGATAATTCGGCTAGGCCATATGTGTCGAATTAACAAGGGTTTACTGTATTAGAACTGAAAACAATTGATTCCTGCACACACGACTTAATAGATGTGTAGTGATCATAATTATGTGTTCATTAATGATACGATATAAGATAAATGTAAAAAATTGCAGTGACAAGTTGAGCTTCTGAATTGCGTCGTCGTCATTGTAGGTCGACCACGTGGACCGAGCAGGGCAGTGCGCGCTGGTGCACGCTGGGCTCCGGGGACACCTGGACATCATGATCCACCTGCTGCAGGCCGAGTGGACGCTCACCGGGCGCCAGCCGGGCCCCGTGCAACGATACCAGGCGGTGCAGCAGGCGCTCACCGCTACCGCTAGCAGTGGCCACGTGGAGGTGAGAGCGCGTGCGTGCGTGCTTGCATGGGTGACGGGATGGCCCCGTAGTACGAGTCAGGTGATCTGAAGTGCTCTCTTCTGCGAGGGTTGCTCCAGTTCGGGGCTCACTTAGAGCCAAATTCTCACCTCCCCGTGCACTTCGGGCACATTCTGTTTTAAATTAAAAGTGTATGCCAATCTGATATGTTCCGGATGTGAAACGTTTGGTGAAAGTTTCTTGCTGGAGGAGGTCACAATGTGCGGTGGACTTCAAATGAGAAGCATTGTCTCAAAAATTGTCTTGGTGTTGATGATACAAGAAGACACCTTTTTGAGTAAACTGAATGAATATTCTTGATTCCTTCAGGTAAAGTCTGTGTTATAAACAGATATTCCTTGAGGTAACCATGCTCCAGCCCCGGCTTTAAAAGGTGACAACTTTCTTCCCACGGTTAAATGTAAATAACACGTCAATTTTTTTATAACTTCATTCAGTTTAAAATTTTAATATAAAGCTTTCATGACTGCAGGGATTCATATTATTGGATCTTTCGGTAAAGTCACGTAGAAGGGAAACAATAAAATGATAAAAATATAAAAATTAAATTCTCACGACGTTTCGACTGCAACACAAGCAATCATCATCAGGTGCGATCACCACACTTGATGATGATTACCTTTTAAAGCTCGGGCTGGAGCATGGTTACCTCAAGAAATATCTGTTTATAACACAGATGATTCATCGCAAATTTCCAAACCAAAGCCCTCTTATCATTTTCCCCACTGTAACTAGAAAAATCATGACAAGTTATCTTTCATATTATTCTAGGAACATAAAATTAAATCAAGAATTGCTTGGCAGCACAATCATATCATCACTCAAATACTGATAAGGCAGCACTTCCCTTGAGATTAACACACAGTTTTTATATTTTTGTCAGCTCTGAAAGGTGCCGATTAAACAAAAAAGAAATACTGCCGCAAACTTTTAGCAGCATCAGCACTGGTGGAAGCCCGAGAGATGCGCAGAAGTGATGAGTTTGGTGCCTCACAGCACTCGGACTGCGTTCTGAGTCTGACCACGAACACAGTTACCTGGCAAGCACGTGCAGCGTGCGGTTCAGCGTGCGGTTCAGCGTGCGGTGCAGCGTTGTTTTTGTTTGCCTTTGTCCCCAAAGGAAGGTCCGTGCCCAAATTTGAGGTCAGTGGAAGGACCTCTTATTATTCACTGGCTTGGAGAGATGAGCTTGGATAGTTGGCTCGTTTTCATCAGGGTGTGCAGCTTGAAAAAAACACTCGGAAATTTGATCGCAATAATTCGCGTATTTTTTTTCCACGATATTGTAATGTTTTTAGCGAAAACACCGCATGTAATGAGCACTGTTTTTCCTTCTCTGTTGGCACAAATGTTTACATTAGGCTTTGAAGTTTCCTTCGCGCCCACAAGTGATGTTTTTTTCCCTCCCATTTCCAATACCGTTTCCAGACGGGATTTCCTGTAGATTTCACATCTCATAAATAGACCATTGCAGTTTCTCTTCCCTCTGCAGTAGGTCACGGCAGAAAAATAATGCTCGGTAATAACGGCCGCTGCTGGATTCTGAATGCGGTTCAAGAATCACATCCACGGTGTAAACGGGATGTGTCAAGACACCGATCGACGTGTGTTTGATTTTACGATTTCAGTGTTTATCACCAGCCCAAATGTTGAATTAAAAGTGTTAATTGCTATTTCCATACACATTTATTTATACTCTGCCACCATTTATTTGAGGTTTATCCACTTCTCTAACAGTGATAGCCTAGACAGTTGCTTCGTGGCCTGTGGTCCATTTGAGGGTATAGCATTACGAGATTCATGATCCGTGTACTCATCACTTTAGCTCTATTCTCAGCTACAGTGTGACAGGCTATACAAGCAAAACAACACATTATTACCACCTTGCATATTTTGGATGTGGCTTCTTAAACTGCAGTGCTCGTGACACGGCACAGAGTTCTGTGTTGACCAAAAGTAAGGTGTGCATGCAACATGCAACGGCCCCATTTGTATTTGAATGGAGACGATGCAACAGAAAGATTGACTGCATAGGGTCTGAGAATTAATTTGTTTATCACGCATAGTGAGTGAAGGACCATTGCTCAAAACGTGTGACCTCTTGCGACAGCATTCGCATAAACTGTTATTTCAGCCATGCACCGTAGTCTCGAGTGATTTGTTTGATCCATGTATCACGGGGGGGTCAACCACAGGGGCGGCACCATTCCTTTGAGGGTCGCAGTTCTCACTTCAAACGTCAACCGCCAACTGAAGTCTGCAATTTTCTGGACTTTGCGTGTCAAGACGGGGCGATGTGTCCACAGTGTGACAGCCGTCTTCCTCAAACTAAGCTCTCAATCACTAGGAGACAGGTTGCAGATGCAATGGTGATATTTCTGATGAAGTCGAACCATCAGATGCCAAGAAAAAGGGGTCTTTGGCATCGAATGTGGAAGGACTGCAGCCAATCCAAATCAGCTTGAAGCAATGTCCAGGCCTCTGCACCATACAACAAAACTGACAAAACACAGCACTGGTGGACTCTCAATTTGGTTCACAGATTTAAAGACTTAAACGTTTCTGGGACCAAGTAAGAAATGAGTTTGATAAATCAACACAGGTGGTCTGTATAGAAGTGACTGAGTTTCAGGTACATGGCCACTTCTGGTCGCCCTTAAAGGTGTGCCCTCCCATGCTTGTGTTGAAGGTGTGCTCTGTCGGCTGCTACTTCTGCTGCTGCTGTGTTGTCAGGTGGTGAGCTACCTGCTGGACATGCTGCCAGATTGGGACGTGGAAGATCTGGGCCGGCCCCACATTGACAGCTTTGACACCCTCTGGGGAGAGACAGGTGCGTCCCCTTGCTGTCGCCAGCCGCTAACACCGCACATATTTGGCGTCAAAGCCACACCTCGACGAGAATGCTGGGTCATGTAGCACTGTGTGGACTGCAAACTCCTTATAACAAAATATACTCGTTCAAATGAGCATGATGCTAAGATCGTCTCTGGTTACAGCTCAGCTTCTGAGCCAGTGGTGGAAATAACACATTGCTATGACAGAGGCCCTTTTGCTACATAGGACAACCACTGCAGGCATCTTGCAGAATATTGGTACTATTTTATTGACTCCAATAGGATGATGGGCCAAGTTGACCCTTTTCCTGATCAGGATTTAATTTCTGATTTCCACATATTTTGAGCTCTCTAACAACAACACTGGTTACTAATTATTTTGGTTTCAGCCCTTTTGTCAGTTCACTGCTGAATGAAGGCCTCTGCATGCCATGTTGATTGGTCATGGGGGGTTTTGACCATATAAAAATCTCATGGAATGTGATTATAAAGCTACAAGTAAGCAGCATTGCAGTCATAATTGTGCAAGGAATGGGATTCATTTTTGAGCATCCCACTCATTGAAGAAGGACCAAGCGGTCAATATGGGTGCTGGCATGTGGATGCTGTCTGTTCCTTATTCGTTGTTTTTGTGAACCCGTGGGAACTGCTTGGATGACTGACCTATCATCTCCTTAGTCATTAACGGCTCTCCATTATGATGCAGATACGTATGGGATGTGTGAGTTTTTTATTGTAATTTTGAGAAATAAATCTTGTTGAATAAAAATGTGCGAAGGTCATTGCTGCTCTCAACCATATTCTAAAGTTTCCTACAGTCAAAGACTTGGGTTTTCCTATAGCTTGGCTTACTTAGCAGTTAATGTGTCATAATCATGCCTTACAAGAAGAAAAGTGCATGTTGTGTGACCTTCCTTCTAGTGTTTCCGTAGACACGTGTGTAGAGTATCGCACCTGTGTGCAGCAGTGCCTACGATGTAGCTAACGTTACGTCCATTAGGCACTGTGGTGCTGTAAAAGGAAATAGGAGCTGGATATAATTGTGGCAAGGTGACATCATAAAATACCTCAATGTGGATGGGTGCAAGTTGCCCTGTGTAGCGCCCATTCTGTTTAGACTCCGCCCTTCGGCATCAGACTGCAGTAGCAGTGTGCGTCCTGCTACACTCTCAGGTGAGATTACTCCGCTGCTTTACTGTCACGAGTATGCTCTTTGTGCTCGGCACTGCATTGTAAAAGACTTTTTATCTGCCCAGCTGATGACAGCTGTTCTCATCCCATTACCCCCAAAGGCCAATTGCATAATGGGGTCAGGTTTGTATTGTGCCCCCTTGTAATACGATATCTGTGAGAATGGTGGCCCGAGTCAACACCTCAGGCTCTTCTGGTATAATTTTCGTGTAAAATCAATTTATATTTGTTATACAATATTTGTATTTTACAAAGGTTACTAGACTTGTTAGCATTTATAATTAATCACAAATTGGCTCTTTTGCCAAATAGTCCATTGGCATTCAAGAACTATCCCAAAGGCATATTGCCATTGGCATGGGAATGGCCAGCAAAATTAAAGCTCTCTTTTTTGTTTAAACATCACGTGTTGCTGAGAAGACTTGCTGTAATGTGCGACTATCGCGATGTTGATCTTCTTACTCCGATTTATTGGAGTAACAAAAAAATTGGCTTCGGATGAGCCGTGGATCTTTATCTCTATCAGCGCCAAGGGTGGAGTTTTGAGGAAGACTGCAGGTTTGGCCGAGTAAGCGCGATGCAGATGCCACGCCAGCATCGAGCAGCTGTAGCGAGCCAGCCCCGGGGCACGCGGCAAGAGGAGGTTTTGTGTGGGAATACCAATTTTTACATTCTTGGGCAGACAGCGGCGAATCTAATTAGCAGAGAGCTGCGGAAGGGTTTCACCGGTTCCTGCCGCGGCCACCCGCAGGCATATCACACGATAGACACCTGCAGCCAAGCAGCGATCACATCTTTATCCTTCACACGGATCCTGGCCCGCAGCGATGCGTTGGGGCTCGTCTTATCTTCTGTTGCACATCCCGTAAGTGGCAGGGGACGTCTTTTAAGCGATCGGTATGGCGTTGGGCGGATCTTCCTTGTCCGCGTTGGGACAAAATGGTTTGGAGAAATAGCAAGCATTCCCTCGTGTGTAATCCTTTCATCTCAGAGAACACGATGGGAAAAGTAATAATAAGAAAATCATTGAAGGGAATAGCTGAGCTCGGATGTGGGTATAACATCTCTGAATCTGCTGCCATTGCTTTCACTGTGAGAGTGAACTTGGAGGTATACGATGATGTACGACTTGTTCAACCAGTAAAGCTACACCTCATCTTGTTTGTACCGTCCCTGGCAGTTATGCTTTAATAGTTAATGCAGCTCCCAGAGTGTGCTTTCCGTTCATAAAATCGTATAAACAATTCCATCTTATGCAATACAAACAGCTTGCAACTAGCATTTATTTCCACACGTGATATAACCTGTATTTGTTCTTTTTTGCTGAGATTATGATAGGCTTTTGGGCAATACACACAAATTTACCCCTTCTGATTCTATAAATCGTCACATTACATTTTAGATTTGTTTAATCTAAAATCTATATTTGTAAAATCTAAAATGTGTTGTTTATCGTGTGCCGTCTTTTTTATTCCGTCTCGTTTGATCCATTGGCCTCAATGTAACATTTTAATATAAATTACGCATTGAAGATGATTCATTCTTACATAATTCAATGCATGTATTGTGAGTTTAAGAATTAAGCGTAAATTTTGGTCAATGGTTCCCGGAATTGTAACTTGCCTCATTAGGACACCTCATAGGGCAGAGGCACACATTGAGTGTTCAGCATTCATCTCCTGCTTAAGCCTCCTCCCCAAGTGGATGATAACAAAGGAATTCATGCACAATTACTACATATTTGTTCTCAAAATAACTATTATTTACCATTGTTTGTGTTTTTGCTCTTAAAATATTCCCACTTTTTGTGGTAATGTTTGATGCAAATATAAATATCAAAATGCATTTTCGAAAGGTCGGTGAAAATCAGCTGCAGATGTGTGATTGCACTACAATACATTCAGACCAAACTTAACATTCCATCTCATACAATGATTTAGCTCATTGAAGATTGCCATGGCTTGCATACTATGGTGATTGTCACGTTCATTATGAAGCAATATCAGCTCAACACATCAATTATTGTACACGTGGAGGTTGTTTAATTAATAACTGGATCATTGTATGGTTCTTTCGGTAAAGTCACGCAGATAGAAAAAATAATGATAAAAAATAAAAATAATATGATTTAAAAAATCACGACGTTTTGATCGCAGCACAAGTGGTCGTCATCAGCTCTGTTCCTGATGACAACCACTTGTGTTGTGTTGCGATCGAAACGTGATATTTTTCTTGGTTCTTTCAGTAAAGTCACGTAGAATGGAGATAAAATAATAAAAATAAAACATAATAAAATACAATTATCACGACGTTTCGGCCACAACACAGGTCGCCTTCTTCAGGTGAAGGAACAGAACTGTCGGGACGACAGCGCTTCAATGAACACTGCAAAAGCTTGGCAGCGTCTTTTAAGCTGGGTGGGAGGAGCAGAGCGCCTTGACAAAGGAGTTTACATATCAACAGAAGAATTTAGCATTGAAGTAGCTGTGTTAAAGTGTTGGATTAGCAGGGTGTTAAAGTGAGAAATTAGCATGTAACTGGGAGATTAGCATGATGTTAATGTGAGGGATTAGCATGTAACTGGTCACGGAAGTAGCTATGTTAAAGTCAGAGTTTACATATCAACAGAGGCATTTAGTATATTGACGCTAAAGAACTGCAACTACCCAACTATCATTCAACAAGCTGATGTTAAAGAACTAAGTATAAACTACATCAATATAATAAATGTACTCAATATATTCTTCAATAAGTTGAGCTATTAACATAAACTGATATTATATAATATAATATCAATAAACTCAATATACTCTCCAATCAGCTGAGCTACTAACAATAAGTCGTTATACATTACAACTCTATGTTGAAAAAAGTGGCGGTTTCTTTTTGCTTTTCAACGTTAGCACCACGGAAAACGACGAGCTTTGTTCAGACGGACGAGTCCATCTATGCTCGGAACGGAGGAGGGGGTAGAGAGAGAAACAGCCACGATGCGCTGCTCTGTCCTGTGTTGCGTTACAACTATGCTATAAACTAGACTACTATACATTACAATGTTATACCTTCCAATCTAAACTACGTTATATAATATCGTATACACAGCCCAATGTAAGCTCTAACATTATGCATTATATTGATATGTCTCCAACTAACCTTTTTTTTTACATTACACGACTATACACCGTATTATACACTGCCATAGAGAAACCCCACCCTTTAATTATACAATGCGTTACTATACACTACCCCATACTTTAGACTATAAAATATTAGACTTGTAATATTACAGTGTATTATTCTACCAACCCTACTGTATACTACACTGCTGTTATACTATTTATTATTATACAACATGCTATAAACCATACCATTGACCGTCGTGTGAAAGGTATTAAGAGGCAGTGCCAGCGAATGGACTGCAGTCTGAAAGTCACCGTAAAATACAATCAATCAAGAACCGAAATGGTTTATAACGTCTTTCCAATGGTTACTAAGCCAGAATCCATCTTCCCGGTTGAAATTGTCTCTGTGTTCGTATATGTGGATGGCCTCATGAACGAATCTCTCATGGTAGCCGGATGGTTTGCAGAGAACCTCCGTCTTGGAGAAGTCAATGTCATGTGAGCCCACTGAATTATAACAGTGATCTGCCACGGCTGAGGTGTTTGTCCTACCGTGTTTCAAATCTGCTTTATGTTCACGGATGCAGTCCGAGATATGTCGTTTGGTTTCTCCAATGTAGCTGCTACCACAGAGGCAACTTAGTTTGTAGACGCCCGGGTACTGTATGTCTGGAACCACATCT